ATAGTATCCCTGAAAGTCCCAGATTACAGAACGTATTGAGCCAGACTTGGATTACATTAAACATCCTTATTTTGTTTTAATGCCTAAATAGCTTGTGGCATAAACCATCCATCTATGGTTTCAGACGATCTTTCACTCAGTGGGACTCTTTAGCTTTCAGTAGGAGCCCAATGTAAAAGGAAAAGTCATATACAGAGCTATGAGAAAATGTTGGCCACCTTAACCATACATTCACATTTTGTTTCACTTTAGATCTATAATGTTAATTTTATCTAAAACATTTTCAAAGATAATCTATAGTTTTTAATTGATTTAATGCAATAAGGAGGGAAAAAAGCTTCCACCTTTAACTACNAACTACAAAGGAGTATCAGGGCCAGGCTAGAGATTTTTTTTTTTAATTTTATTTAATAAAGTTGTAATATTATGAGAATGAAGTCGTAATATTATAAGAATAAACTTGTTACGACTTTATTCTCATAATGTTACCGCTTTATTTTCGTAATGTTACGGCTTTATTCTCGTAATTTTATGATTTTATTCTCATAATTTTATGACTATTCTTATTGCGACTTTATTCTCGTAATTTTATGACTTTATTCTCGTAATTTTATGACTATTCTTATTGCGACTTTCTTCTCGTAATTTTATGATTTTATTCTCGTAATTTTATTACTTTATTCTCGTAATTTTATGACTATTCTTACTGCGACTTTATTCTCGTAATTTTATGATTTTATTCTTGTAATTTTATTACTTTATTCTCGTAATTTTATGACTTTATTGTCGTAATTTTATGACTACTCTTATTGTGACTTTATTCTCGTAATTTTATGATTTAAATCTCGTAATTTTATAACTTTATTGTCATAATTTTATGACTTTATTGTCGTAATTTTATGACTTTATTGTCGTAATTTTATGACTTTATTGTCATAATTATATGACTTTATTGTCGTAATTTTATGACTATACTTATTGTGACTTTATTCTCGTATTTTTATGATTTTATTCTCGTAATTTTATGACTTTATTCTTGTAATTTTATGACTATTCTTACTGCGTCTTTATTCTCGTAATTTTATTTTATTTTCGTAATTTTATGACAATTCTCGTAATTTTATGACTTTATTGTCGTAATTTTATGACTATTCTTACTGCGACTTTATTCTCGTATTTTTATGATTTTATTGTCGTAATTTTATGACTTTATTCTTGTAATTTTATGACTATTCTTACTGCGTCTTTATTCTCGTAATTTTATGATTTTATTCTTGCAATTTTATGACTATTCTTATTGCGACTTTATTCTCGGAATTTTATGATTTTATTCTCGTAATTTTATGACTTTATTCTCGTAATTTTATGACTTTATTCTCGTTATTTTACGACTTTATTCTCGTTATTTTACGACTTTATTGTCGTAATTTTATGGCTTTATAGTCATAACTTTATGACTTGTCATAATTTGATTACTTCATTCTCGTAATTTTATGACTATTCTAGTGGCAACTTTATTCTCTTTTTTATGACTTTATTCTCATAATATTATGACTTTATTCATGTTATTTTATTACTTTATTCTCATAATATTATGACTTTATTCATATTATTTTATGGCTTTATTCATGTTATTTTATTACTTTATTCTCATAATATTATGACTTTATTCATGTTATTTTATGGCTTTATTCATGTTATTTTATTACTTTATTCTCATAATATTAT